TTAAAGTTTAAACTATTCTAAACACTTCTACAGAAGGCCCTAAACCCATATGAGGTCATCTTGGGCTCCAAAAATGCAAGTCAAACCCAGAAACATCACTTTCTAGAAACGCGCACTGCTTCTTTATTTAATCGCCAGAAAATAACCACTCGGTAGAAAAATCCCAAACTTTGATACAAATAAGACAAGAGACACATGAATGTCCTCCAATTTGAATCACTCAAAATTCGTCCGTTTGGTCATGTTTGCTCTAGAGGAAGTCAGATGTCCTATATTGAAAATATAAAGCAAAGTATCAAAATTCTACCAAAATAATTACCAAATTAATACTAAGAATAGGGTAAAATATATAATATAATATTGACTCATCACCCTCTTTATTGCTCCCATATGCTTCTTTGATGGTACATGCATGAATCTAGCAAGTAGGCTAGCTGCAAACATAATGTCTGGTCTTGTTGTAGTTAAGTACAACAGACTCCCAACCAATTGCCTATATACATTCTCATCTGTTTTCTTACATTCATCCTCTTTCTTAAGCTTGTCACTCACCACCAATAGAGTGCTAACAAGTTTGCAGTCCTTTAATCCAAATTTCTACAGCAAACTAACTGCATATTTTCTTTAATTAATGAAGATCCCAGATTCAGATTGTAATATTCTCATGCCAAGAAAATGATATAACAGACCCAAATTTATCATTTCATATATGTTCATCATGTCAAACTTGAACTCTTCTAACAACTCAGTGCTACTACATACGTAGATAATGTCATCTACATAGATAGAGACAATGATGCTTTCACTTTCTCCCATTGACTTTATATATAAGGTTGCCTCACTTGGACTTCTGGTGAATCCACAATTGTGCAAATGAGTATCAATTCCTTCATACCATGCGCTTGAGGCTTGCTTTAACCCATACAAGGCATTCTTCAGTTTATAGACTTTGTCTTCTGCACCCTGCACTATAAATCCCTCAAGTCGATCAATGTAAACTTCCTCTTGCAACACTCTATTAAGAAAAATTGATTTCACATCAAATTGAAATAGCTTCCACTTCTTTTGAGCTGCTAAGGCAATGAGAGTCATAATGGTATCCAATCTTGTAACATGAGCAAATGTTTCATTGAAATCAATATCAGGCTTCTGTGTATAACCCTTGGCAACAAGTCTTGCCTTGTGCTTCTGAATTGTCCCATCCAGATTCAATTTGGTCTTGTATATCCACTTCACTACAACAATAGGTTTGCCTAATTGTTTATCAACCAATTCCCAGGTCTTGTTTTTCTCTATTATCTCAATTTCAGAATTCATTGCTTTCTTCCAAGCTACATTAATGGCAGCATTAATGAAATTCTCTGGTTCAATTATGATTACTTTGCATCTAGCATAAATTTCACTCAGTGATCTTTCTTTAACTGGTGTAGCTTTAGCAGTATTAGAGACACCACTCTCAGTTTGAGAATTAGTGAATTCATGTGATACATACTTGCTCCATTCTAGCTTAATGTTCTAATCAATCTCAGGTAGATTGAGATGATAACTGATCACAATTTTCTGGATTCCAACACCAAGTACCCTTCTCATCAAATACAATACTCATTGACAGAAAAATCTTCTTGGTACTTAAGTTGTAGATCTTGTATCCTTTCTCCATATTCCTATATCCAACAAAGATACATTTCATAGAGGATTCCTCAAGTTTCTGTCTTAATTGTCTAAGTATGTGACCATAACAGATACACCCAAACCCCTTTAAATGTTGAATACCTAGCTTCCTGCCACTGAAAGCTTCAAATGAAGTTTTGTGTTCCACAGCCTTGGTTGGACACCTATTAAGTAAATACACAGCTGTGTTAACAGCTTCTCTCCAGAACTCATAGGGTAAATGCTTGTCATAAAGCATACTTTTAGCCATTTCAACAATGGTTCTGTTCTTCCTCTCAACAACATCATTTTGTTATGGGGAATAAGCCACTGTCAACTATTTCTTAAGCCCTAAATCTTCACATGATTGAGTAAACTCATGAGTGTTGTACTCTCCACCTCTGTCACTTCTTAACTTTAGAATTTTGTAGCCATTCTGCAATTTAACCATGGCTTTGAATTTCTTGAACACTTTGAACACTTCTGATTTATGATTCAGAAGATATACCTAACACATTATGGTTGCATCATCAATGAAAGTAAAGAAGTGTATGTTTCCTCCAAATATTGTGACCTGCGTTGGTCCACAAATATATGAATGAATTAATTCCAGAGGCTTGATTGCTCTCCAATTCAGATCTTTACTAAAAACATATATGTGTTGCTTTCCTGCAATGCACCATTCACAGACACTAGATGACTTCTTGAGTTTTGGTAGACCCAACACCATTTTCTTTTGTGCCATTCCCAAGCATCACCCTCAGACTTCATTGTTCAAAAAATTTGGTTAACTGCTGGGAGGTGGAGCCCCGCCCCGATTTTGGGCAAAGCGTTCGGAAAAATCGGCTGGAAGCTAGACGGCTAGACAGTTTTTATTTTTTTATTTTTTTTATAATTCTAATTTAAAGTTTAAATAAACTAACTTAAAGGTTCTTGTGTCTAATCCCCTGTTAACCTAATTAAAACATTAGAAGTTTCTTTAGTTCTGCATCTATCTTGTGTCGTCAGCCATCTCGAATCCTTTGCTAGGCATCATCTCTTGACTTCTTTACTGGGCAAATCATCTCGCCTCTCCAGATTTCCATAGTCCACCTCTTGCAGTTGCAGTTTAGCATTTCCCATATTTTATTCGAAACTCTAATTGATGCCAATTGCAATGATTTGCTACTCTACATTGATAAATTGATATATAATATTGAGTCTCTACAAGGAATCGAGATGCCCAAATGAATTTGGGAGATTGGTTTTTCGTATTTTTTATGCAAGATTATGTAATCTGGGAGATTGGTTTTTCATATTTTTTGGTAGTGCAACAAGTCTTCTATATTTTTTTCATTACACTATGAGTCCATGTGATTGAATTATGGGGTTGAATGAAGCATATATGTTAGTATACCACCAGCAATAAGGCTAATTGTTATGAAAAAGAATTTACAAAAACTGAGATAGGAATGTGTAGAAACGAAACAAATCTTGTTACCAATGTATTTCACATAATAGGGTTGAACCGTTGAAGCATTCAGTTGGGATTTAGAAATAATGACCCTATTGATTTCAATGCTAATATATTCTCTATGTCTGAATGGTTATGTATAAGTGTATGGAACTAAATTTACTTAATCTAAAGTAAAGTTTGTGGGGTTCTGAGTTTTACAGAAAAGGGGGTTAATCTACCAGTTTGGGACCTTTATGCTTAACTATGAATGACCTATATACAACAGAAGAGGAAATAATGGTATCTGTTGGATTAGATTTACTAGTCTTAGGTGCAGACTTGCAGTTTCTTTCGACTTGCATAACATACAAGCTCATGAATTGATATGCAATAATGCAAATGGTATGATTTTTATAGGTAGTGCTCAAGTAGGTACTAAATAGAAGTATCTCATAAATCATATCTATGCATTTGAAATTTTGTTAATGGAATGTTTGAACTATTGAATTTGAAGTATTTGTGTAGTTGATGAACTAATGAAGTATCTGTACATTTGTCGTTTGATAATCTTGTTCAGTTGTTTGTAACTTTGTAGTGAATTTGATAATAGAATTTTATTTTTAGATGGCGGGCACTGTATTATCTGGAGCATCTAATCCAATGTCATCCACCCAATCAAATAATCCATTAAAGCATGCTTCAGATGATGTGGGATGGGAATATGAGGTGTTGGCGGATCCTTCAAACTCGGATAAGGTGTAATGTAAATTGTGTAAAAGAATACTCAGTGGTGGCATTTATAGAATGAAACAACACATAGCCCATGTCAAGGGCAATGTAGCTGGATGCACAAAGTCTTCAAATGAAGATAAAGCAAAATGTAAAGCCACATTAGAAAAAGCAAAAAAGAAGAAGAAAGAAAGAAACAAGCACTATGAGGAAGTGAGGGAAGAGGTTCAACTTCCACATATTGAAGAAGATGAAGATATTGAAGTTGTTGGGTCAAGGGAAATGTCGCAAACTCTTGGGCCTATTGATAGGTTTGCATCCTCCATCAATCCTGGTTCTTCAAAATCAAATGATGGACGCAAGAGTAAGTGACAACAAAATCTCCATGATACAATTTGGAAGGATAGAACACATAAGGTTGATCAATAGTTGGCTCGATGGGTCTATGAAGCTAGTATTCCTTCTCATGCCATTGATACCAACCTCCAAGTCAATATGATTTGAGATACCAACCTCCAAGTCAATATGATTTGAGATAGCCTTTATTTAAAGAAAATGTGAAGAGGGTAAAACAGTCTCTTAAGAAGCATGAAGAAGAATGGGCTTTGAATGGTTGCTCAATTATGACCGATGCTTGGAGCAACAAAAAAAATAAGAAGTATAATGAATTTGTGTGTGAATTGCAAAGAAGGCACAATATTTCTTTCTTCCAAGGAATGCTCTAGTGAAGCACACTGGGGAATAAATCTTTGAATATGTTGACAAGTGTATCAAAGAAGTTGGTCCACAAAATATTGTTCAAGTGGTAACCGACAATGCTGACAATATGGCGGTAACAACCAAGATGATGGAAAAGAGGCCACATATGTTATGGACATCTTGTGCCACTCACACGTTGAACTTTATGCTTTAGGAATTGGTAACATACCTAGGTTCAAGGGAGTGATTGAAAAGTCAAGATTTTACTATCTTCATTTATGCTCATCATAAAACATTAGCATTGATGAGAAAGTATACAAAGAAAAGAGACATAGTGAGGCCCGGAGTCACAAGATTTGCAATTTCTTTCCTAACTTTGTAAAGCTTGGTTGATAAGAAAAAAGACTTGAGGATTATGGTTGCTAGTGATAAATGAGAACAATGCAAACATTTCAAGAGTACAAAGGGGAAAGCAGCATATGTTACAATGGTGAGTACACATTTTTGGAATGGGGTCTCACTTTGCTTGAGATTGTTTGAACCGTTGTTTAAGGTTGTTCAACTTGTGGATGGGGATAAAAAGCCATCAATGGGGTTTTTGTACGGGGAGCTACAAAAAGCGAGGAATGAGATAAAAAAGGCATTGAAAAATAATGAGACCCATTATAGACCAATCATACAAATTATTAATGGAAAAGCTCATGATCGGCTTGATGGTCCATCACATTTGACGGCTTACTTCTTGAATCCTTATTACTTCTTCAAAGATCAAAGCATTCAACATGATTTATTTGTCATTGACGCCATGTTTACTTGTGTTGAGAAGTTCTTCCCCGATGACTTTAAAGTCCAAAACCGAGTTATTAATATAAAGATGTCGAATACAAGAAAAAAAAAGGGTGGATTTGGAAGACATTTGGTGGAGATTGGATGCGTTGAGAATGATGACAACTATGATCCGGGTATGATTCTAATTGAGTAATTCTAATTGTTTTTCTTTACTAGTCTATTTCTAATTGCTTTTTCTTTACTGGTCTAATTCAAATTGTGTACTTTGCACTTTTTTTAGCTTCATGGTGGTCTACTTATGGTAATGGTGTGCCTAATTTTCAAAGAATTGTTATCAAAATTCTCTCATTGACTACAAGTTCATCCGGGTGTGAAAGAAATTGGAGCACTTTTGAGGGGATACATACAAAGAAAAGGAATAGAATAGATACTACAAGGTTGAATAATTTGGTCTATGTCCAATTCAATGCGAGGATCATGAACAAGAAGAAAAGAGAGAAAAAGAAGAAAGTGGATATACTACTTGCTAGTGAAGTTAGTATGACGCAAGGATGGATTGTGGAGGGTGTTGATGCAGAAATTGAGCTTGGTTCGGGAATGGATGGAGAGCAATTATAGGTGGATAGTTCCCTAGAGCCTAGGAGGAGTTCTAGAAATGTTGAAGAGAGCTTCATGAAGAAGATTTTGTATCGGATGAGGACATGGAAGAAGAGATGATGATGAAGAAATTGAGTTTGAGTCTGACACGAAGAGGGTCTTGGAAGGATATGGAGAAGAAAAAATTGAGGCCTAGCTTTAAAACTTTGCAAGTATCTTATATCCTTATCCCTTCCATTTTGCATTTTATGTGTGCTTAAACTTTAAATTGTGAACTTGTTAAATACATGTATTATCCAAGAACACTCATTTTGATTATATGCTTAATGTGCTTTTAATTTGTGAGTTTGTTGGATACTTGTTGGATACATGTATTATCCAAGAACTCTCATTTTGATTATATGCTTAATGACAATGATTATATGCTCAATGACAATGTGCTTTTAAATTGGAAGCTTGTTGGATGCTTATTCCACACAGGTATTATCTAAGAACATTCATTTTGATTGTAAGCTTGATGGATACTTGTTGCCTTGTTGGATAGATGTGTTTTCCAAAAACACTCAGATTTATTACATGGTTAATGTGTTTTCAAATTGTAAGCTTGTTGGATACATGTACTTTATGTAATCTCTACTTAATTACACGATATACAATAAATTTACCTAAATCTGCCTAGGCCCTTGCCTAGGCGCTACGCCTTTGCCCGCCACCCAACTAGCACCTAGCGCTTTTTAGAACCTTTCCCTCATTACTTACTTTAGTGCAGAACCTTCCCCTTGAATCTGCATTCACCATAGTGCATATTCCCACAGATTTTACATGCCTCTTTTGTGTTCGCCTTATTAAACCAGGGTTCGGCAGCATATTGAGGCCTATCATTAGCCTTAAAATCACCCTTCTTTATCACTCACTTCCTCATCTTCAGTATGCCTTTTCAACCTCTGCTCAAATCTTTTCAGAGTTGCAACAACCTCATTTGGATCAATCTCATCCAATTTCTTAGTTCCCTCAATGACAGAAACAATATTATCATATGTAGGAGTTAGACTAATTAACATTTTCTCAACTAATCTCTTGTTTGGCAAGGTTTCACCAAACATCTTCATCTTATTCACAAGACTAGATAATCTAGCTAGATAATCAGAGAGATATTCATTATTTCTCATCCTAGCATATTCAAAATTACAACGAATACCTTGTAATTTCACAGCCATGACCTGAGCATCACCCTTGAATTCTTACTTAAGAACATCCCAAGCATCCTTTGCAGTCTCTTGATTTGCGATTTTGGGAAATATCTCATCAGTCATAGCTCTTTGTATCAATCCAAACGCCTTTGCATCTCTAGAAATGAGATCCTGATCAATAAGAATTTGCTTCTTATCCGTCTCCTTCCATTTCTTTGATAATGTGAAGCCATCTTCAACAAAGCTCCACAGATTGTGAGACTTGAATATTGTTTTCATTCTGAGTTCTTCGTTGAAAACCCAGATGAACACTTACAAATTCACTCCCAGATTCAAATCCAACCCGGCTCTGAGGCCATGTTAGTGTTTGAGCTACTTTTGAGCTAAATTTCTCTATGTATTTGTAATCAATTCAACAAGTAATTGAAATGTATTCAAAGATTGAATATCAAAGATGAACTTTTGGGGAAGAAAGAGTATGTTTCTCCTCGAATCTACATTGGATTCAATCCATGAAACTCGGCTACAAACCAACTAAATAGCCGTTGCCAACCCACCAAAGCATCGTGACTATGATTACATGCAACTCACATGGATTCACTTAACATATAACAAACTGGACACGTGTCAAGTTATACACCATTAAGATGATACAATCTTGACCGTTTGTTACACATATACAAACTTAGCTAAGAACAACACTTAGATATTTTCGAGCTTTTTCTTCTTTCATATTGCAGCAACCTTGAATGCTTGATCCAGCTGCCATGCTTATGCTCCAACAAAAGAAAGGTTTCCATGGCAAGTTGTTGCAGAGGCAGCCCTGCCAAATCTTGATAGCCTTGCGTGTTTTTCAACCACATCATGATGACCATTCTTAGCATTCAAGTTTGACTTGTTTGTATTTTGTGCTACCAAGCTTGTTCGATGGAGGTGGCACCTAAACGAGCCCTCGTGTTTTGTTGGAGCGCATATGCAAGTATTCTTGGAACTACTGGCATTTTTAGTTGGTTTGCTTTCGGTCGTATTCTTCCTTCCAATGTTCTTTTGTATAGCCTTGGCTAATTCATCTTCTCGACGAGGTAGAGTACCCTTCACTTTATCAAGCCTGGTAATAGTAAACCATACACATAGGGGGGATTGGGAGTATCCATTACAAGGACAAGAAGCATATACGTTACTGTTAGACTGTTGCACAACTTTGTAGTATTAATCAACATATAGTAGAAGCAAAGAAACCCGAATATGAAGCTTTTTCATCGGGAAAAAAACAATGTGTCCCAAGTTGATGCATGCATTCTCAAAGTAAGGATGCTTGGGATACAAACATTATCGAACAAATTAACTAAAAAGATAGAAACAAAGCAATACAAGTGGTTGAAAGGGCTTGATCAATAGACAAACTGCATTAGCAAAACAGGTTAATTGAAAATTACAATTGGGATCCTAAAGAGGAAATAATCCAATCTCTGATGAAATCATGAACCATCTAAAAGTTCTTGTTTTACCAAATTAGTGCTATAACCTGATTCAAGCTTATATACACCAGTCTCTCAATTCTTGAAAGTTTTTGCCTAAACCCATAACAATCAGTCAGACTGAAAACACCTCAGCACCTTATATTTCTTCGAATTCAGTAAGTCCAGAAGGCCAGAAGTTAATATAGTAGCTAAGGGAATCCTTACAAATTGGGTAATAACACCCAACTTGAAAATTTATTTATGGCTTCCAATTTTACAAAGTTGCAACTTCGAAAAAGTGACACAAGATATGGCAGTTGAATTGAGATAGATGAGAATTCCCATCAAAATATATTACAGAACAAAAAATAATAATAATAATAATAACATACCAAAGAGGGATGGCTTTGGGCTCCTTATTCTCATCACCCGGCATTGTTATTGCATCAATAGAACTGGATGTCGAAAGATCAAGATTGTTCTTGAAACCCCAAGAAAGAATAATTCAAGGACAGATCTTAAGAAAAAGGCTCAAAAGTAAAAGATTTGAAGAATGTGGGCACACAAACTCTGAAATAATATGGCTATGGCTTGGACTTCTCATAAAGAAGGGATGTCTGGATTGTATTTAGATGATTTGGATTGGTTTTCTAAAGAGAGAGAGAGAGAGAGAGAGAGAGTGAGAGAGTGAGTGATGAAATCAGGCCAATCAAGAAGCAACACGTTCATGCATGCAATGCACAGAGACGTAACACTTGTTTGCGTTACAAAGACTCGTACTTGGCATATAGTGAAAGATCAGAGTGGCATCAGTACTGGCATGGTCCAATAACAACTCTAGTATAATTAGTGCTCTCTCAGGGTCTCGGCTCTTATCCTCTCCTAGTCTCGGCTCTTATCATCTCCGAGTTTGGCTGCGTGAAGAGTGTCAGCAATTTCACTATGTCTTGGCTCAAATTTTACTTTTCAAAAATTTAAGAAGACAATATCGAATGGTATTCAAACAATTCAGAAGACACTGAAAAATTAATGTACGTAACTACATAGCTACAATGTAACAAAGTAAGGAGAGGGTCACTTTCTATCGACCCAACAGCAAAGGGAAACTTTCCTTTCCTTTCTCTCTACTGAGAGCCTTCTTACCGTCTCGTGTGAGTGTTTGCAATTTCGTCATTTTTCGTTGTTGCCGATCCTAGCTCCGGCTGGGGTCGGTGGCAGTTTGTTCTCTGTTCGTTCTGTTTTTCCTTCGTGATTTTCTGCTGCGTTTTCCCTTTCCTACCAATCCCCTTCTAGTCAGTTCTCCACAATTCTTTGGCATCCCTTTTTCTGGGCCATTTCCAATTTCATATGTAGCCACTTTTCATCGCGATTCATCAACTAAATTGAAACAAAATATAATTGAAATGCTTTAACAAAAAAGAGAAATGATTTGAATTTAACTAAAAACTAAATAAAGCTTGAAAATAAAATGCATGAATATAATAAATTGAAAGCATAAGAAAGCAAGACCTAAGGCATCCGAATTCACTGTAACCAATTCTACTTAATTCCCTTAATATGTTATACTCAAGTAATTCCCCAATATTGATGATCGATTTTTCCTAAATTATTCAATAGCCATGACATCTGGTTGCATCAAAAGTATCCTTACATGTTAACCCTTTATGACATCTAGATGGATTAAAACAAGTAAGAACCCATTAAGCTATATGGAAATCGTTAGAAAATCACGCAAACCCTAATTGCATGACATCTATAAATAGGTGTTTATGGTATCAATTGCAAGAAGCTAAACCCAAATTAAGTATGGCATCTACTCTAACTTGCATCAAGTCAACTTAATCTAAACCTAGATGACGATCAAGCAACAACAATAACAACAAAGCCTTTTCCCACTAAGTGGGGTCGGCTATATGAATCCTAGAGCGACATTATGCTCGGTTCTGTGTCATGTCCTCCGTTAGATCCAAGTACTCTAACTCTTTTCTTAGAGTCTCTTCCAAAGTCTTCCTAGGTCTTCCTCTACCCCTTTGGTCCTGGAACTCTGTCCCGTAGTCGCATCTTCTAATCAAAGTGTCAGTAGACCTTCGTTGCACATGTCCAAACCACCATAACCGATTTTCTTTCATCTTTCCTTTAATTTCGGCTACTCCTACTTTACCTCGGATATCCTCATTCCTAATCTTATCATTTCGCATGTGCCCACACATCCAACAAGCACACGCATCCAATGAAGCCTGCACCCATTTTATGTACATGTTGATGCTTCACTGCCCAACATTCCATGCCATACAGCATCGCCGACCTTATTATCTTCCTATAAAATTTTCCCTTGAGCTTTAGTGGCATATGACGGTCACACAACACGCCA